TATCTATATATGTATATATATATGTACATATATATATATATATATATGTACATATATATATATATATATGTACATATATATATATATATGTACATATATATATATATATGTATATATATATATGTGCAAAAAAGACTACTCAATGAGGTCAGTAGAATGATCTTATGTTGAACACAGTGTGTATGAGTTGAGTTAAAATGTTGAAATTAATTCACCTAAATCAAATGTGAAAAAGAAGGTAAAATTGCATACAAATCCTCAATATTGACATTAATATATTTTGGAAATATTACTTACATATATTCTTTATAAATTAGTAATTTTTATTATTTTGTTTTTGTAAATTTAGTTTTAAGAGTTAATAAGTTAAATAATTTCAAATTTGTAGTGTCGTTTTTGTTTTCGATTTTCTCGAGATCGAAAACTGTTTTCTGTTTTCAGAACTGTTAAAACTGCCTTCTGTTTCCTCCAAACGATAATTAGGAAACGAAAACACGATTGTTAAAATGCTCGAAGCATGTTTTCTAGGAAGTGTTTCCTAACTTTTCGTAGGGCTCTATCTCGACGGCGCCGCCCTCCTCGCCTCACTCTCGCTCCGATTACGCTGCTGTTTCAATCCCTACCCATCTCCCCATTCGATCTTTCTCTTTACTTGTTGTTGATGTATCTATTAGTTGATCGATTGCTGCTTTCCGAAGTTCTATTGTCTGTAGCCATATGCAACATGGATCATAACAGTAGAACATTTGCCCCTATTTGATGGCCTTTGGTTTGGTTACAAGTTCCAAGGGCTTGTTTTTGCTGAAAATTATAGATCTTTTATATATGAGATGCTGTGTATTATGCTTTTGGACATGATAAAGGAAATTGGTCGGGCATGATTTTGTGTTTGGTTGCCCAATAAACCTATGAGCTTCAGTTAGAAGAGCTTGGTCTGTCAAAATCATATGCAAGGAAGGCAGAAGAAAACTGTGATGGTTGGTCATCATCTCATAATTGTCCTTTAGTTCCTAAAATTTACATACACTGACTCGGGACAATGGTTATCCTTTTTATTTATGCAAGTCAAATATATAGTTTCATGTTTGTTTGCAGTCGTCTTTGTGGTATGCAATTCGTAGGGAGGATGCGATTGTAGTTCTCAGGTAATTTTCTGTGGATATGAACCAAAAGGAACTAAAGGGAGATTGAACAATGTTAATGCAAGAGGTGATGTAGAATGGAGTAGAGAAGTAGAGAGAGAGAGAGAGAGGGGAAGAGAAAGAGAAGTGTGAGACTAGAGAGGAGAATAAAAGACTAGAAGAGAGAAGATGAAAATTTTTTTGTTCAGATCTGAAGTGTTTCATCAATTGACAAGCTCTACTATTTATATGGGTTTGGAGCCTTAGTACAATCAATGAAGGCAATGATTCCCAAGAGTAATCTCATAGAGAACTTATTTGCCTTTTAGAAACTTAAAACGTGACTTCTAGGAGACCTAAATAGCTTACTACAGTTGAGAAGTAAAAGAGTGCACTTAATACAAAGGTAGAGTCCCAAGGTTAACACCTACGAAGGTTCTTTATTTTCCCACACAACTCTTTTAGTTTTTAGGTTAGGTAATTGATGATTTTTTATTTTTTTTCTTTGCCTAGAATAAACTCTTCTAAAATCCTTTATAAACTTAGATGGTTCTCCATCAAGAGGGTGCCCGGGAATAATTTGCTTGAGCCTCAATTTCATCTGAGCATATTGTTCCTCTTATCTTCTGACACTTGTATGTTTGAAGATCTCTAGAAAGCCTGGGCTTAATCTCCAGCTAAAGTCTGGCTGTGCAAACAAGATTAGGCTTTTCCAGTGCTTTTTGTTTGTTTTTATAATGATCACTGAAGATGATCCACATTGATTTGGGATTTCCTTATTGAATAGTTCAATGGCGATGAGTAGCCAAGTGGGAGTTGGGGGGTTTAGGTAGGTCATCCGGGCCAATGGAGATTCTGTATTGGTTTGTTTCAATTAAATGATTACCCTGATAATGCTGCATTCTTGTGTTCTTTTCATTCTTTATGGTGATTTACTTTGAGCTTGTATTTTGTATCAGTTCCCGCATACGTGCTTTCTCAAAAGTAAAATGCATCATGTATACTGTATCTAGCTTTTTAGTATTATTTAAGTATTGAATATTCCTTTTGGTTAATTAAAGGAAAGATTGAGCAAATGTTTGTTTTTGCAGTACAAAGACAATTAGTTTATTGATTGTTGACATATTTTTTTCATATTATTCACCTATTCTTCATTTTTTTGTTGCTACATTATCGTGCACTTATTTGAAACATGAAATAAGATAACCATCTCTTTGAATAAAGGAGTTGTGAACCTCAAAACTATATGATGTGGTGCAAATTCAGTCACTCTCAATGTTATTTCTGGTAATTTTTTCATCCTTGAACTATATAACCCGATAAACCAAGGTTTATTTCACATATTGATAGGAAGTCAAGATTTTGGTGCAACACCATTCTAGAACAAGATCATATGATTAATTTGTAGACACATCTAAAGTACAGAGGTCATAGTTACCTAGATTTAACCTCATGCAGAATATGCAACACTTAAGCTTATTAATTCTTGTGCATCATGTCTTTTTATGGCTGAAAATGCTTTACAAAATAATTTTCTTGTACATGACTCACCTGAAATTTGGAATCTGTACTAACGTTATATTGCTGAAATGATCCACCTCACATTTTTCATCACTGAAAGGTTTCGAACCACTTTTGGCTATGCAGAGTTTGAAATTGTCTGAGCATATAAATAAAGAAAGAGAAGCAGCAAAACGGGTGAATCAACCATAACACTTGGAAAAATGCTTGTCTACATGCTTGATTAATTTGTTCTTGGGTTTCTTCGGTGGGGTATACTTAGAAAAAGAGATATTTCTCGTGTGTATGTGCACAGGTGTGGATGTGTGCATGTCTGTCTTGTCTGCCCATGAATCAGGTAGGTTGTTGCTATATCATCATGCAAGATCTAACTTGGATTTTGTTTTGCAGTGAAAATTTCGGAAAGAAAACTGATAAAGAAGTACAACAAACTTGTACCTTGGCGTTTGCCCGAAAATCTTGCAGTTTTCTTAATCGCCTGCTTCATTCTTCTCAAGTTCATCACAGGCTGCTGGAAAGCTCGAATCATGCTTTGAAAAGAGGTGGAGACAAAAACACGACTAGAAAATGTCACTGTATGCCCCATCAGAGATCTAGCAATAGTGCAGAAGAACAAGGATTTGTGGTTTTGCTCCAAAACAAATGTCTCTGTTTATTTCCCTGTCAACTGAAGAACAAATGAATTCTCCTCCTGTCAACTGATGAAACATTTTGGCTACATGCTCTTGTGTTCAGCAAGCCTGAACTAGTGGAAGTTATGATCAAAGAATATTTGGTCAACTTGATCAGCTGCTATCTTTTCGAAAGAACATTTTGGATGGTTGGCTATGTTGTGTATTTACTCACTAGATTGAAACAGATCCAGGCAAAACTAATTCCTTGGAAAATGTAGTGAAATGTTAGCAATGCATTATGTATATATATATATATATATATATAATTTAAAGCTAACAAAGATCAAAATCTGACTGGAGATTCTGAAGTTGGTTGAAGGTTCGATGTGGATTCAAAATATTTAATGGAGAGATTAGATTTTAGAATCCACACCATTAAATAATAATAATTCGTGGAAATTATGCATCATATCATATCTCACCAATCTTTTGTGGAGTGATAATTAGAAGATCGTATAAATGTACTAAATTCTTCTAATTTAAACTTCTGGGATAAATTTATCTCAATCTAATTACAAGATAATTCGTGGAAAACATACACCGCGTAATTAGAAGATCACTCGAACGTATAGATAGATCTCATAAACCCTGTAATCCAACCTTCTCGGATTACAGTCGATCTAAACATAACCGCCAATCCCATATCACTACCGTCCGCTAGATCCTCGCGATTCGTGCAATAACGTCAGAACCGTGCATATAAATTGGTTGCGATCCTCGGCTCCTCCGCGACAATTACCGATCGCGTCGCACGGCACCGCCCACGGCCAAGTCGGAAGCGGGGAAAGGGCAACGGGGCGAGAACTCGCGTCGTCGGTTTGATCCTCCTCGTATGACAATCTCGCCCCAGTTTGTGCGGCTTTGGTTTTGTTTTCTCTTGATCCTTTTTTAGATTTCTGCCTCGTCCGTTCTTGATCGAGCATGGACGAGTTGGGGGGTTTGGTTTCTTGCTGACTGGGTCTGTTCTTGGTGGTATAATGCTTTAGTTGCCGTCTCGGAAGCCGGCCTGATGGCGTTCGAGATAATTACGGCTCGAAAGGCTTTTTCTTGAAGGATTTCTCTAGCTCTTTGTGTTGGATCTTCTTGGTATTATGATGCTTTTCTTTGCCTTCTCGGAAGCGTTTTGAGGTAGTTAGGGCTCTTTCTTTCGTTTCTTGAAGCAGTTTTTGGCTTTTTTTGTGTGTTTGATCGTTTCTGTGGTTCGTCTGCGTTTGAAGTCATTGTTCTCATTGCTGGAGGGTTTGGTGTTATGACCCTTCCTTGGGGGCGCTCTTATAAGAAAGAGAGACGCTTGCCACCGGATTTCTTCCTGGTTCCTGGATACCAATCGGCCCATCCTCCTAGGGAAGGCGGTGAACAGAACCAAGCCCCAATTCTGAACTTGTCGACGGAGAAGAGGCACCTCATACTCAGACCTGTGTCTGTTAGACATGACCGGCTGTATCCTCAATAGCGCGGGAAACTCCTCCGGGCCTAGTGTTGGGGCAAGCTCAATAGTCAATGACGCCAACTCGGCTCTCTCTGGGACACAGTTGCAGCGCAGCGTCAGCATCAACAATGAGCCGTGCATGCGCCTCCCAGCCTCACCCATGTCATTTTCATCAAACAGCACATCAGATTCTTGGGTGATGGATGGCTCCATCATGCAGCAGAGCCTGGGTAGCGAGCATGCACGCAAGCGAGCTGCATCGAGTGCCATATCTGAGATTATAGCACAGGCACCTGACGATTCAGTGCATATTTCAAAAAAAGCAAGGCTTGATTTGAAGGATGATATCATGCAGCGGATGGTGATCCAGCAACTGCTGCAGGGCTCAGAGCCAGAGCCAGAGCTGCATGGTCATCAGAATCCGCAGCTGCATGCTATGTTACAACAGCAGAGATTAACCCAGCTTCAACAGCACATGATGCAGTCTTTTCCGCAGACTCAGCAAGCACCTATCACCTTTCAACAGCAACAACAGCAGAGGAACCATTTGCAGCAGCGGCCTGTTGAGGTAGCTGCCCCTGCCAATCACAATTTTGATGTGAAGAAAGGTTCTTGTCGAGTGATGCAGTATTTGTATCATCAACGGCATCGCCCAGCTGTGAGTTCATTCTTTTCTACAAAATGCTGAATTTTCAAAGTGTTTGACATGTTATAATATGCTCTAAATCCAATTCTTCTGTATAGGATAATTCCATACTATACTGGAGAAAATTTGTTGCAGAGTATTTTGCACCACCAGCTAAGAAAAGGTGGTGTTTATCATCGTACAACAATGTTGGCAACCATGCTCTTGGTGTTTTCCTGCAGTCAGCTAAGGTTAGTATCTGATTATCTGAATTCTTATATATTGTGTACCAAATTTTGTGTCAGCATAAACCATGGATGAATAGCGATCCCCAGTTTATAGTGGTCCAACTGACACACCATTTGGTCATCATCATGCATCTGACCGCTTGGAGAATTTGAAAAGAATAGTAGGGTGAACAAGGAAGTAACCTTGAAGCAAAACTTTCATCATTATTTTTATGCTGTCACTGATAAACTAGGATGTCACGCAATTCAATTGGCCATTGCTGGTGGATGCTGATCCTAAATTGTATGATTTATCTTGACATTCTGATGCTGTGAATATTGGATCATTAGTCCTCTAGAGTCATTAGAGGAATCAATTTACCCCTATTATTATTATTATTATTATTATTATTATTATTATTATTATTATTATTATTATTATTATTATTATTATTATTATTATTATTATTATTATTATTATTATTATTATTATTATTATTATTATTATTATTATTATTATTATTATTATTATTATTATTA